AATATTGATTTACTAATATAATGCAATCCCAGAGAGAAAGTAAAGCGTTTTTAAAATTAACATAGTAACAAATTTATACATTTACTAAAAATAACTTTTGAAATCTCCTTGGTGGGTTTTTGGAAACTTGATAAGTTGATTACAAAGTTCGTCTGAAAAATAAATATATAAAATGATCTAAGAAGAATTAAGAAAATGAGGAATCTTGGGCATGGGACTTCCTTCTAATATGTCTGCCTGTCTCTCTGCATTACAGTGCATAGTGGTTCAAGAACAGACAAATAGATAAAAAAGAATAAAAGAGTCCAGAAAGGAGCTGTTATATAAATCATAATTTTCTCTTAGGAAAAAGATGGCACTTAAAATTCTACAGAAAAGTTAATGTGGCTTTTATATAATTGAGTATAATGTTTGAAAAATATATAAAATAATACCCTTTCTTTCTCCTTTAATAAAAATAAACTTCAGATGAATAAAAGTTTTAAATATAGAATGATAGGTCACTAGAAGAAAATATGTGGCAATATTTTTACTAATTGGGTTAGGAAGGGCCTAGGGGTAGCAAAAGTTAAAAATGAAAAAAAGTGATAATCTCTATTATTAAAATTTTTTTAAAAAACTATATTGCAAGCTCCCCAATCTATAAATATAAAACTTAATGAGACTTGAAAATTATTTGCAATATATTCAATACAGGATTAATATTTTTACATACAAAAGGGCTCTTACAAATTGATTAGGAAAATAGGAAAGTGAGCAAAGATTCATACTTATATATCACAGAAAAATACAAATAATCATTAAGGTGTTCTCACTAAAATAGCATCAATGCAAATTTTCTATTATCAGATTAATAAATGTTTTTAAAATGCTGAACTCTTTAATGGTGTAACAAAGTGATATGTAGATTCACGCTTGGTTGAAGTGTGTTTTGAAACAACCTTGGTGGAGCACATTCTAACAATTGAACCAACATTTTAAAAGTTTCACCTTGAAATTCTATTTCAAAGAATTTTTAAGAGAACCAGGAAAGTGGTCTATGATTTTAGGCACAGGTGTGTTCAGAGAAGGGCTAGAAAATAGTGGTTTCATTTGTGACTATGGAGAAATGGCTTATTTATAGAACACTTTTGTTCTTTTCCAAATTACCCCAGCCTCTGCATCAATAAGATTTTGAAGAGACATAGTTCAAAGTCAAGGCAATGATATCTGTATATACCAGGAGCCAAGAGTGGGGGCAGCCTGAGTGAAGCTCTGGGCAGATCGGAGCCCCCTGACCAAAGCAATCTGTTATGGAGCAGGTTGACTCTTGACTGACCCTGTAATTAGGTGCTTAAATGGGCTAGTGTTGTGAGACACTTATTTCTCACTTAGGCGACAGTTTTTTAAGTGAATTTCTCTGGTCACACAGAGGTTAGAGATGGGTTTACGGAAAAGTGCAGAACTAACACCCAAAGGCCGAATTCCAAGTTACTGTAAACAAAAGTTTATTTGTGTGTTTTTTTTCAATCACTATGTTTCAGTACTTTATAGTTACTAGAGAAAGCCATGAACTCAGTACATTTACCCTCAATGGTTATGTGACTCAGCTTATCCAGCACTTTTAGGCTCAATAAAGTATTTTGTAAAAATCCTCATACTCTATGTAATCTTACCAGAACAAATTTTGCTGATGTCATGCACTGAGATTGAGGCAGGCTCAGCTTTTTAGAGATTGCAGACGATGAAAATAAGGATATTTATACATATGATGATGACAGAAGGTAAATGTTGGGGGGAAAAACATGTCATGAGACATCCAAGGAAAAAGCAAGGTTACAGTTAGAAGGGGGCATTAGAAAAGGTTTATGAGGTTAAGTCATTGGGGGAAATGAGCTTTCTTTCTTTTTTTAAAATAGATTTTTATTGATTTCAGAGAGGAATGGGAGAGGGAGAAAGAGATAGAAACATCCATGATGAGAGAGAATCAATGATCGGCTGCCTCCTGCACACCCCCCACTGGGGATTGAGCCCACAACCTGGGCACATGCCTTTTACTGGAATCGAACCTGGGACTCTTCAGTCCACAGGCCGACACTCTATCCACTGAGCCAAACCAGCTAGGGTGAAATGAGCTTTCTTTAAGGGTAGAATTTCTGTTGATGGTGTTAGGGCATTCTCAATGTGAGAAGATACACTGAGGCAGAGAAATCAGAAAAGGCTGAGAGGCCAAGACAAACTATCAATAGCAGAGGAGTCAGGCAGCAGTGCCAAGTACTGATTGCAGTTAGGAGAGGAGGCTGGGAAAGTATTCGAGTGAGAGGAACTAGCCAGCCGTGGGCAAACTACGGCCCTCGGGCCGGATCTGGCCCATTTGAAATGAATAAAACTAAAAGAAAAAAAAGACCGTACCCATTTATGTAATGATGTTTACTTTGAATTTATATTAGTTCACACAAACACTCCATCCATGCTTTTGTTCCCGCCCTCCTGTCCAGTTTAAGAACCCATTATGGCCCTCGCGTCAAAAAGTTTGCCCACCCTTGGACCTTAGGTCCACTTGTGGGGAGTGGGCCTAAGCCATCAGTCAGACATCCCTAGAGGGCTCCTGGACTGTGAGAAAGAGCAGGCCAGGCTGAGAGACACCCCCATCCCCCCACCGAGTGCACAAATTTTTTTCACCGGGCCTCTAGTAATACAGTATATAAGAACTTAAGAATTAATATTATGGGCATTTATAGTTATTCTTTGTTACTTATGTCAAAATAATGGTAAATACTCTTTTTAAAGTTGTTTGATGACATAACTTTAACAATATACTCACTGCTTTTTAAAAGAAAAAAATTCAGTGATGACAGGCTAGAGTTATAATATTTCATCATTTTAGTATAATAAAATATAATGTTTTATATTTATAATTTAATAGAATTGTTTCCAAATGGGAAACAATGCTATAGTATGCTAAATAAGTTTGGAGTAGCATTTATGATTCAAAAAGAATGTAAAATGTCCAGTTGCTCCTGAAGCTTATGAGACCATATTTCAGGACAGATGTGTTTATAGCAGTGCCATGGGCCTACTGTGGCTGTGTGGACCACCAGATAAGAAGATGAAACCCAACCAGGCAATGTGTGGTGTTTCTAGAGTCATTGCCATGATTTTCATTGGCTCAGTAATTGAGGAGGTTCAGATACTACAGCCAGAGAAGATGATAGCTTTAGGAAAGTAGAAGTTTATGGGAGGGCTAAATGCTTGGCTTATGTATTTCTTATATGCATTAGACATTGCATAATAAGATAATGTAAGAAACTCTTTTTACTAAATGAATAGGTAATGAATGGTATTACTATCTTAATTTCACTTCTTGATTACTACTGGTTATAAACATTTTTCATATGTTAATTTTAATGTTATTCTTTGTGAATTGCTATTGATGCCATTTGTCCATTTTCAGTCTGTATAGTGTTCATTTTGGGTTTTCAGAAATTATTTATTAATAATTATACTAATCCTTACACTATCTTATTGGTAGAAAAAATGTGTTTTTGTCCAAGTAATAGGATTGTATAAAACCAAAACCCATTCTGGACTTTAATCTTTAAAAATTTTTAATGATTTGTTTTTCAAATTTTCTTTTTTATGATTATAAACTAAATGTCATCAGTGGAAAAAAGAAATCCAAAACCTAAATTTAAAAAACCTTAACATATAGAGATTATTTTAACTTCACTTTCTAATTAAGTTAACATTTTAGTGCACGTCCTTCATGAATATAAATGTACATATTATATGTATAAATTTACATATGTCAGTATGTAAAAATATCAATATATTCATACACACATGGCTTTATTAGAAGTGTATTATTTCTCTGCCTTATAGAACACATTTTTTCCCAGTAAATATAGTTTTACACCATTATTTCAAAGTATTTGAATGGTAATGCTATTATATACATATGCTAATTATTTATTCAACAAATATTTATTATGACACTAATAGTGGCCCAGCTGGCATGGTAAAGTGGTTGAGTGTCAACATATGAACCAGGAGGTCATGTTTGATTCCTGGTCAGGGCACATGCCCGGATTGTGGGCTCGATCCCCAGTGTGGGCCATGCAGGAGGCAGCCCTCTCCCTCTACCTTCCTCTCTGAAATCAATTGATGTTTCTATTTCCCACTCCCTCTACCTTCCTCTCTGAAATCAATTTTCTTTAAAATACCCTAATAATGCAGTAGAAGAGCACTGGGAATAAAGCAACATACAAAACTCCTACAAAGGTGAAGTTTGAATGCTATTGGAGAAACTATACAGTAAACAAATAAATATTGTATATAATATAAGAACTAGGAAGGAAAAAAGGAAGATGATAGAAAGTAGGTTGGCATGAGGGGATGAGGTACTTTAGGAAGGCCTTTTCAAGGAGCAGGAATCTCGCTGAAGTATGGGATCCCCTAGGCCAATATTTAGGGCAAAATCATTTTAGGCAGAGAGAGCACAAGGTGTACCTTTAAAAAAAAACAAAACAATTTGACATTGATTAGCATTTAGATTACCTCCAACTATTTAAAAATTTAAATAAAATATTAAACACGTTTGGAGAGACCATTCTTCTTAAAGATTTTCTAAATTTTTACATGTATTCTAACTGTTCTCCTTAATTTTCAAACTTATTTTTCCACTGTTGTATGTCTTCATAACCATACTGATAGGAAGATGTGAAAGTGTATATGAAAGGATGTCAATCTAATGCCATTATATTCCATGGGTTCTAATTTATATTTTTTAAAAGAAAAACAAAAATTTAAGAAAGAAAAAATGGTTTAAGTACATTAGAATATAGACTGTTTAGGGAATTTTTATAAGTAATACAAAAAAATTGAAATGACTTGCCATTACTTGTACTGCTACTTAATACTTTCTGTTTATGCCATTTTAACCCCATGGGACCTTTAGGAAAATCACTTAAGAATAAGGACTTCAGCACATAAAGTTTTGTGTTTCTTTCAATCTCCTTCAGGTTGCTGATGCCAAGTCTTTCTCAGGTCCTTTTAATGTCCTGCCTGTGAAGACAAAATGGAGTAACGTTGGCTTCCATATCCTTCTGTTTGACTTGGAAAACCTTGTTGAACTTCTGCTGTCAACGCCAGCCTGCGACAACGACCCTTCCAGTTCGTTCCATGGCAGTGAGATCCTAAGAAGAGCCAAAAGTACAGTCGAGAAGAAAACATTGACGCTGAAAAGAAATAAAACTGCCTGTGGTTCTCTCTCAGCAGAGGCACAAGCCAAGCCTGTGAGTGACGCCCCAGCCCAGGGAGATAATCCCATCATGGTCTTCGAAGAATATGATGGAATTAAAAGGCAGAAGAAAATGAAGAGCTCCAAAAAGACACACCCTAAGCCATCAAGAAAATTTGATGCCAACCTCATAATCGATGCAGCCAAATTGCTCCTCTCTTGCCTTTTGCCGTGGGGAGTGGATAAAGAATTAGATAACCTCTGCATTAAGCATCTCAATATTTTGAAGCTTCAGGGTCCCGTGTCTCTGGGACTTGCTTCAAATGAAGATCACTTCTCACTGATGCTGCCAGGTTGGGATTTATGCAATGCTGAAGTGAAAAAAGACTACTCAAAAGTCAATTTGTTTTCCAGAAGAGTGTTGGAATTGTCAAACAAATACACATCCACTCTTCCACATCAAGCTGGGATGCCAAGAGGGCTGGAAAGTAATTGTGACGCTTTGCATGAGTCAAACACTATAATTTATTTATTGAGAAGACTATTTTTAGTTAACAAATTAGTTAACATGCCTGTAGATTTGGCATATGGAATTGATAGGTAAGGCATGCCTAGAGATTTTGACTATTCTTATTTGGGATATTTTAAAAATTATCATTATTTGTTGTATTCAACTCTCTAGCCTTTCTCCTTCTTTTCTTCATTTACACGAAGAATGAATATGCAACAACTCCTTTAGCTCCAAACACATTTAAAAAAACCTTTTTTTTAATGTTTGGGACTGGAGGATAATTTGAGCAATAAAGTTGTTTTAAAATATATTTGTTCAACAAATAACCCTTGTTCTCATAATATGTGCCAGGAAAATCAGAGTGCTAGATGCTGAATGATTCAGTAAATAGATAGATGATATATACTTACATACATACATACATACAACCTTGAAATACATTGCTGTTGCTATGAATTAAATATGAACAAAGAACATTTAAGTAATCGCCTATAATGACATGTTTTATATATCACTAGAGGCCTGATGCACAAAATTCGTGCAAGGGCTTTGGCTCCGGCCCCCACCCACTGCAGCAGCCAGGGGCTTCTGCCGCCTCTGCCGTGGCACCCACCCGCTGTGGCTTTGTCCAGAAGGAATGACGTCCGGAAGGATGTCTGTTCTAATTAGCATATTACACTTTTATTATTATAGATAAGGAAAGGAAAATTTTGAAAATTTAATTCCTCAAATCCCACCATTTAATGCATACTTTGGCATTTTAAAATAGAAGAGACCATCAGTAATTAATTTGTAGAAAGTACAGTTTAGTAATAATAACTGTTTTGTTTTTTAGTGCTTCGTATCTGCTGGTCACCATAGAAGCTCTTTACATACATGATTTTATTTAGAATGCACAGCAAAGCTGTGCTATAGGCCCTATTATTTTGCTTATTGTATAGGTGACGATATTAAGGCTTATGAAGAGAAGATACCAACCCCAAGATTAATTCAGCTTCTTGGAGTCTGATTCAAGGTTGAGTACCAGGCACATTCCAAAGCCTGATTAATCACTCACTTTGACTCTGAATATCTACCCTCTCCCACTGCTAAAATGCAATGCAGTTTTTCATAGTCTGATATTAGAAGATTTAACTCAATTCATCAGCCTGTAGGGGAGATAAACATAAATTTCTCATTTAGGTATGAGCTCATTTAAATGACAAAAATAATGCACCTGAAATACATAGAAAACATTGAAGTAAAATAAAATAAAATAAACTAGAAAAAACATTTGTAATACAGGTGTTTTAGGTGGTCTGTGTAAAGAGAATAATTAGTGTGAGATAAAACCGTCTAAGAAGCCTTTCCAGAAGAGATGCTGTTTGATCTACCCAGTACATGGTGGTAGATGGTCCTTGACATTTATGTTCTTTGATAAGAGCTCAATTCAACAGATACCTGTGCCAGGCACTGTATAATGGCCAGAGATCCTGCCCTCAGTGGACTTACAGTCTGGTAGCAAAGCAAGTCCCTGTGGATTATGCAGGATTCAGTATTATACTTCCTTCCATTATAATGCTTTTGTGCTACTGGGTTTTCCATGTTCTGTTCATAGCCCTAACAATGAGAAAACAGACTGGTAAATTTTAGTTCTTTACTATCC